AAACCAAAGACATTACATTCTTGACGCCAACGGTGCCGAAAAAAAAAAAAAAAAAAAAACAGAGTTAAGAGTCATATGCAGAGTTATAACCACATTGTTGTTGTTGTTTTGTGTGTAGACTATGTGTGTGGGTGAAATATTGCCAGATGGGTGAACTCTTGCCAGATATTGATTGCAGAATATCACATAAATGTAGCTGTTGCCAGACCATAACTGTATATTACCATGTTTTTCTGAAAAAGTTTCTGAAAAGCAATGGAAAACATATTCCCTAACATACCTAACCATAAAGTTCATATTACCTGGCAACAAGGATTAAAAACTTAGCTGACGTTAGTTACGTTGTTTAAGCAGTTCACCTGCCATGGTATTTTGTATTTTACCTCTCTAATTTCGGTCTGTATCTTTAAATTTGTCCTAGTAGTAATGTTTCATTTGTGAACGAGTCTTTTGAACGAATCTTTCAAGTGCACGCATTGCTTTCGAATGAAAAAAAAAGAAAAAGAAACAACACTATACAAATATATATTAGGCTACATTAAAACACTAAAACAAAAATGTGGTTGTATATTTCATTCGTTCTTTCACAAGCTACTCCACTGATATAAGTGTCTGTAAAGTATTTTAATTCAGTTACAAGTATTTTAATTCTGTAATAGGTATTTTAAGTAAGCAAATGCTAAAACCGATTCTCAAGTGTTTTCGATTCACTAAAGAGAGCCGGCTCACAAAAGTCCTTAGTTCGGTAATCGCGCTATATTGGTCACGCTGTATAATTTGATTCCTTAAAAAGAACCGGATAATAAGAGTCATTCGTTCGGGAACCGCTCTACACCGGTCACGCTGAATAGTTTGATTCCCTAAAGAGAACCGGCTCATAAGAGTCATTCCTTCTGGAAACGCACACTGGTCGCGGTATGTTTCGTATTCAGTAGCGGTGTTAGGGCGCTTGGAGAGTTGTGCAGGAACTCTCTCAGATTCAGAACACATTAGTTCTGTCTGTGTTCCGTCCACATTGGCGGAAGAACGGACGTTCGAGCGCACTTAACAGTAATTAAAACAATAGTTATAATTACAGCAACATACTCATGACAAAGTTACCCTTCTGTATCTGAGGGCAAGCTAAGACGCGAAATGGTAGCTTACGAGTTGCAAATCATTTAACCATATTTACACAAATGCTTTCACGAGACCCGATTCTTTAAAAGGCAATGTCTTTGGCTTCGAAACGCCCTCGTGCCAAGTAGTCTATTTCCAGTAAATTGCCCTAAACAAGGAGCAAAATTGGCAACAGAAGCATCACACTTGGCAGCGACTTTAGAAACTAAATAGGCCATAACTCACAGCACCCTGCGCGCAAAGTCTGGAAGGGTCATAAAAACACGTCCCGCAGACCCCCAGCGGTGCAGCAGCTGTATGTTTGTATAATCAAGTGCCTCGAAATTATATGATTACATTCTTCATGATATACCTCCCCAAAAAGAGCTTGCAAATGGCTTTTATGCTCAGGACCACAATAACCTAGTGATTAAAAGAAAGAAAACAGCATAATTGCAAAATCACTGCATGATTAGTGAGAACTGCTTTGAAAAATGTGCTTGGGAATGCATGATTGCGTCTGACGTGCACTTGAAAGACAAAAACCAGAGCAAACGGGCGACCGCGTTTACCTGCTCTAAGCGCCTCTGCAGAGTTTGGAAAGACCTCGACAGGTCCCGCGTTTGTCGCATTGTCCACACTGTAAATATGGCACTGCACACGGCCAGGGACAGCGCGACCACGGCCATGAGCGACCAAACCAAGCGCAGTGTGCGGATCCGTCGCCTCTGAAGAATTAGCTGCATTGTTGCGCACGCGGGTCGTTTACCGTTCTGGAGCTTCCACATCAATCATTCTGTCCATATTCCACGAGAACATCTCTGAGCCTCTCTGGTAGGTCCTATGCGCGAGAGCTTCTCCAGAGCGCAAATGCAGCTGTTGCAGCGCGGTCAACGCAAACCTGGTTGCAATCGTTGCGAGATTGACCCAGCAAATCAGTCGCCGCTGGCAATGCTTTGGTATATGGAGAACTGTCTGCGTTTATTGCATAAACTGGCCCAAATGGAACAGCAATATTCCTCTCATTCCTGTGCAGAGAGTTGACAGTAGCACAGCAACACTGTGGGATTTGGATTTTATTCGCATTTTCCAGAGACCTGATTCTTTGGCATGACTTCCTCGTGTTCTCTTTGACAAATAGATCATGGTCTAGTCCATACGAGGTGTCATTTCAAAGCACTTTTGCGTCCATGTGCTCAAGTATGCATTGCAGGGAAGTGAGTCCTGCACAGCAGTGGAAAACAGATTTCCTTCCCCCCTCGTGCGGTGCCAAGTATTCTTATTCTGCAGCGAAATACTATTTAGCTCTGTCCTGCCTCAAATCAACAAGTGCGCTTGTCCGCGTTTCTTTTTTTAGAGGGCTGGCTGAGCTGGTTGTTCTCTAAAGTTTTACAAAGTGTGACCATGGATTCATGGAGTAAAGAGTGCTGATTAAATTGTCACCACAATAAAATTAAATTAAAAAAGAAAGAAAGAAAGAAAGAAAGAAAAGAGTTGCATAAAGCCAGGGAGCAATTAGTCTCTTTTTCGGATTCAAATTAGACCAATCTACGTTTTTATGTAACCGACTTGATGACCAGTTATTAAGACTTATGACTAGTCTTAAAAAATTTGATGACTAACTTTAAGACTAGTCTAAGCATTTATGCAACCGTCCACATACACTATTTGTGGCCCTGGACCACAAAACCAGTTATAAGGGTCAATTTTTTGAAATTGAGTTTTATACATCTTCTGAATAAATAAGCGTTCCGTTGATGTATGGTTTGTTAGGATAGGACCATATTTGGCCGAGATACAACTATTTGAAAATCTGGAATCTGAGGGTGCAAAAAAATCTAAATACTGAGAAAATCGCCTTTAAAGTTGTCCAAATGAAGTTCTTAGCAATGCATATTACTAATCAAAAATTAAGTTGAAATATATTTACGGTAGGAAATTTACAAAATATCTTCATGGAACATGATCTTTACTTAATATCCTAATGATTTTTGGCATATGACCCATACAATGTTTTTTTGGCTATTGCTACAAATATACCCAAGCGACTTAAGACTGGGTTTGTGGTCCAGGGTCACATTTCATAAAAAAAAACTCCAGCGACACACATTTAGTTTCTTTAACCCGAATCAGCTCCTAAAACCATGTGAGTATTTTATATAGTAGGCCTAGGCCTATAAATAAACTTTATGCGTGTGTTATTTCTCTAGAAGGGATTATTAAAATATGTACCTGTATTTTCTTCAAATGACATGTAAATTGTTTGCTTTTGTCTTATAATCCTAAATGTAATGTTTTGTAGACATAAAAAAAAAGAAAAAAGTATTTTATAATTTTTTTGTCTCTTCTATGATACCTAAAATGACAAACAGCGCAGTCTAATCATTGCTTAATCGTTTTCTAACATAAATGTCAATATTGTGAAGATGTGTCTAGTTCTGCTCTTCCTTTTCCCTTCCAAAAGTCCCAAACAACAGGATGGTTTCCTGGCAGGGAGTTCGATTATTATGAGTCAGAAAATGAGCCTGGGTCTGATTCACAGTGTTTTTACTTAGTTAATTTGCTACGAAACGTTGGCCTGTCAATCGGTTGAGCATTTAAAGGATTAAATATGCACAACATATGCACGTCACAATTGATGTCTCGGAAGCCCTACTTGAATTCCTCAGTTGAAGTGCGCTGGAAAAAGTCCTAAATGTGGTTTATCGTTAATCGCTTCTCCGGGTGACCACCTGATGTCGCTGTTGACTAAGGTGTGCTAACTACTGCAACATGTTGGCGTTTCAGCAGCTTAGTAATGTAGTGATCTGCAGGCCAAATGTGAATCCTGCTTCCAGCTACGATTTATCTTATGGTCATTGATTCAGAAGTGGCATTTATTATGTTTATTTTATGATTACTTGTGCATAGTTTTTGTTCAACACTAATCTAGATTACACTGCTTTAAAAGCTTTTTGTCAAGTAAAAACACATGTAGCAAAACCATGGACAAATGTACTTTAATCAATGGCCAATAGAACAGACTGCACAGTACACTGGATACAGCAGCTTGTAACAATGTAACTTTTTGCCATCATCTTCACAATGAGGCTACACTGAGCTTCTCTGAAGTGCTACAAAATAACAGTTCCATCCTAACAGGTCATTAAATCTTACCAACTACTTACTAAATAACTACATTTAGAGACTGAGGTATTATGGCTTGTCTGTTGTTCATGTTTATACTGTATTTAGTAACAGCACAAGATTTTCTTGCCAAAGACCTTTTGGCAATAAACATAAAATATCTAGTTACCAAAAAATTACACAATGCAAAATGCACAAAAAAAAAATCATCTACAAGGCAAAGTAAACAATTTAGAAAAGCAAAATCCAATCATGGTTTCACTAACCAATAGCATATACTGTAGGATTTAGCTTATTTACATTTGTAGTGCATTTTTCTACTTTTAGTGAGCTTATTCTCTCTTATGACTGGTAACAGTTACCAAAAGTTAGTCGAGAAAAGTATGTGGCTTATATCTGTGCATGTACAGCGTAAACAGACACATCTTCATCTTCTAGAATCTACTTGGTTGTGACTCTTGTGTACCAATCGGTTCTTTATATATTACAACATAGTTTAAGAACATTACTTGTGCATAATTTCAGATAAAGTGGATTTGTGAGTGAGACCGACTAGATGTTCAAACAGATATTCAAATGTAAAAATAAAATGACACGTAATATAACAAATAAAATGGCTATTTAAATAGAACATCTAAGAATAACAGTTCTAAATTCTAGATACGAATGATGGTATCAGCACCAACTGTAACGATTTCACTTCCACCCTTTCCACTAGTAGAAAAATGATTATGTCATAATATGGCCAATATATATGCGATTCACAATGACACAACAGTGCACTTCTGAATCTTTGGTTAGGTCAGACTTCACAATTCAATTATGTAGAATGAATCAAATGCACTTTTTGAGGCAAAATAAATAAGAAGCATCTTCTGTCTATTGTTCTCGGCAATATTGCTTGTCTATATTGCCTCATAAAGTTGCGTTTCTTTCAGAAAATTTCTATAGGATATGAGCATGGTTACTTATTCCAGTTTTCCCATTTAACTGTCAGTTTACTGTCTTCCTGTGCTTATCAAACAACTTGTTACTTGTGGCTCTGGTCAGGGGTTGACAGTGGAATCTATGTGCTTCAAAAATTTAAAGGTCCCCCTGGGCCAAGTGTTCAAGGGCATCGCCCTCACAGCGCATGCAGTGATAGCCGAGGTCGGAGGTCACATCCCAGCAGCCCTGCTTTAGGTAGAAGTCAAGAGATGATTTGTTCCAGTCCAGCACAGTGAAGTTCAGCTGGCTGCAACCAGCAGCCAGACCAAGCTGTGGGTGATCGTAATCACAAACATGTAAAATTGTACACAATCAACAATAATCTAAATCACAATTTGTTAACAACAGATTCCTTGCTAATGTATTATGATCGTGTGCCATATGCTGCCATTATCTAGTATAAATAAACACCCCTCACCTGGGAAACTTTAGACATCAGAGCCTTGCCAATGCATTTCCCTGGAAATACTCACAGAAAACCATTAATCAGTCAAAGGACTTACATTTTATTTTCAATTAAAAAAAACAAAAGCACACAGTGTGGTTTCCTTACCTCTGAACTCTGGCATCACATACAGATCCTCCATGTACACCGCCCGACCTTTCCATGAACTGTATGTGTAGAAGTACAGAGAGTAACCAACCTTGGTATGACCTGTAAAAAGATATACATACATGAATGACCTCTGTCAGCTTGATGGCTAAAATAAAAAAAAATACCACTAATGTTAACACCAGGGTAAACACAAAACTCAAACATACTCTGGGCAAACAATATCAGGTTGTAAAACATGCAGTTACCACAATATTAGCACATTTGGCCAGGCACTTCAAAGAATAGTAGATGACATTTTAGTAAAAGTAAATTACATTTTACCATCAGGCCATCCAAGATGTAGATGAGTTTGTTTGTTCATCGGAACAGATTTGGAAAAATGTAGCATTACATCATTTGCTCACCAAAGGATCCTCTGCAGTGAATGGGTGCCATCAGAATAAGAGTCCAAACAGCTGATAAAAACATCACAATAAGCCACAAGGCCATCAGTCCATCAGTTAATGATCTCTATTCCTAATATTGCTTTCTCCAGTGAAAATCTGAATCATCTTGTCTGAATCAGGAGAGAAATATGCACAGAACAAGCAATGTTAACACCAGGGTAAACACAAAACTCAAACATACTCCGGGCAAACAATATCAGGTTGTAAAACATGCAGTTACCACAATATTAGCACATTTGGCCAGGCACTTCAAAGAATAGTAGATGACATTTTAGTAAAAGTAAATTACATTTTACCATCAGGCCATCCAAGATGTAGATGAGTTTGTTTGTTCATCGGAACAGATTTGGAAAAATGTAGCATTACATCATTTGCTCACCAAAGGATCCTCTGCAGTGAATGGGTGCCATCAGAATAAGAGTCCAAACAGCTGATAAAAACATCACAATAAGCCACAAGGCCATCAGTCCATCAGTTAATGATCTCTATTCCTAATATTGCTTTCTCCAGTGAAAAAGCCATCTTGTCTGAATCAGGAGAGAAATATGCACAGAACAAGCACTGTTTACAAGCAAAAACAGTTCTACATAAATATGCCGGTGGATTTTACTGTGAGAGAAAAGGGAATGGACTTTTCCACTGGTGGTTTCCACTTTTCCACTTCCATCCGTAATGATGGATTTGTTTCTTACAAATGTGCAGCTTTTCACTTTGCAAAACATTAAATAATGTATTGGAGTCATGTGGATTACTTGAGGTTTATTGTAATGTTTTTATCAGCTGTTTGAACTCTCATTCCGACGGCACCCATTCACTGCAGAGGATCCATTGGTGAGTATGCAAAGTAATGCTGCTAAATTTCTCTAAATCTGTTTTGATGAAGAAACACACTCATCTACATCTTGGCAATTTTTCATTCTTGGGTAAACTATTCACAACAATATGCATGCTGTGGCATTGTTGCTTAAAATGGTGTAGAAAATGAATATATGTAATTGTGAGGAGGTAAAGCAAGAGAGGATAAAATGGCAAAACAAGCTTATGTAACAGCCATGAACTCAGGCTAGACATGACACACATGCCCAGATTAGATAACAAATATGTATCCTAGTGCAGGGCACCGCAGAAGGATGTTTTTAATAGGATTGTTGATCCAAGATGAATACTGAATCAAGATGCCTATTTCTTTTTTCTCACCCTCTTTGGACTTAAGGTGCTCTGGCACTTCAGCAATGATTCCATGGAAAAAAGGGTTTTTAGAGAATCCATCCTGCTCCAGATCTACAGTAGAGAAGTATGATTGGTATCAGCTTCAAATTCTTGCTAAAGCAATCCACAGGATTATTTATTCCAAGCAAATGATTGTATTTGTATTGGAAAGATGTGACAATCAGGCCTACCTCTTTGTGCAATCTTGACCTGGTCAGAAACTTTCTCATACTCTGCCAGTTCCTAGTGTGAAGGATTTGACAACAGAAATACAGGTGCAGCTCAATAAATTAGAATGTCGTGGAAAAGTTAATTTATTTCAGTAATTCAACTCAAATTGTGAAACTCGTGTATTAAATAAATTCGATGCACACAGACTGAAGTAGTTTAAGTCTTTGGTTCTTTTAATTGTGATTATTTTGGCTCACATTTAACAAAAACCCACCAATACACTATCTCAACAAATTAGAATATGCTGACATGCCAATCAGCTAATCAACTCAAAACACCTGCAAAGGTTTCCTGAGCCTTCAAAATGGTCTCTCAGTTTGGTTCACTAGGCTACACAATCATGGGGAAGACTGCTGATCTGACAGTTATCCAGAAGACAATCATTGACACCCTCCACAAGGAGGGTAAGCCACAAACATTCATCGCCAAAGAAGCTGGCTGTTCACAGAGTGCTGTATCCAAGCATGTAAACAGAAAGTTGAGTGGAAGGAAAAAGATGCACAACCAACCGAGAGAACCGCAGCCTTATGAGGATTGTCAAGCAAAATCGATTCAAGATTTGAGTGAACTTCACAAGGAATGGACTGAGGCTGGGGTCAAGGCATCAAGAGCCACCACACACAGACGTGTCAAGGAATTTGGCTACAGTTGTCATATTCCTCTTGTTAAGCCACTCCTGAACCAAAGACAACGTCAGAGGCGTCTTACCTGGGCTAAGGAGAAGAAGAACTGGACTGTTGCCCAGTGGTCCAAAGTCCTCTTTTCAGATGAGAGCAAGTTTTGTATTTCATTTGGAAACCAAGGTCCTAGAGTCTGGAGGAAGGGTGGAGAAGCTCATAGCCCAAGTTGCTTGAAGTCCAGTGTTAAGTTTCCACAGTCTGTGATGATTTGGGGTGCAATGTCATCTGCTGGTGTTGGTCCATTGTGTTTTTTGAAAACCAACATCACTGCACCCGTTTACCAAGAAATTTTGGAGCACTTCATGCTTCCTTCTGCTGACCAGCTTTCTGAAGATGCTGATTTCATTTTCCAGCAGGATTTGGCACCTGCCCACACTGCCAAAAGCACCAAAAGTTGGTTAAATGACCATGGTGTTGGTGTGCTTGACTAGCCAGCAAACTCACCAGACCTGAACCCCATAGAGAATCTATGGGGTACTGTCAAGAGGAAAATGAGAAACAAGAGACCAAAAAAATGCAGATGAGCTGAAGGCCACTGTCAAAGAAACCTGGGCTTCCATACCACCTCAGCAGTGCCACAAACTGATCACCTCCACGCCACGCCGAATTGAGGCAGTAATTAAAGCAAAAGGAGCCCCTACCAAGTATTGAGTACATGTACAGTAAATGAACATACTTTCCAGAAGGCCAACAATTCACTAAAAATGTTTTTTTATTGGTCTTATGAAGTATTCAAATTTGTTGAGATAGTGAATTGGTGGGTTTTTGTTAAATGTGAGCCAAAATCATCACAATTAAAAGAACCAAAGACTTAAACTACTTCAGTCTGTGTGCACTGAATTTATTTAATACATGAGTTTCACAATTTGAGTTGAATTACTGAAATAAATGAACTTTTCCACGATATTCTAATTTATTGAGATGCACCTGTAGTTTAACCCTCTATTGCTCAATTTTGCCTTGGTGACAAGCCAATTTTCTTCACTTTGCAAGCACATGATGCATACATGATGACAAAAATATGGATTAAAAATGAAAGAATGACTAATAAGCCAATACGATATTTTTTCTTAACTTATTTTTCTTGTCAAGGCGGTCATTTAATCTTGAACTCATACTGCCCCATGTGGACGAAGCACATTTTTGCTTGAGATAACCTTTCCTAGAAAAGCATTTTCCACCCATTGAACATTTAAAGCCATATATAATATTTGAAAAGAAATTGCTTAAATGTGTTTGTTGCATAGCAGAAGGCATGGACGCAATTCAAGCAGGTACTATAATAAAAACTAGTTTCTATTTGGATTTAATTTACCATCATGTAAAGTATATTTTGAATTATATTAGATTGTATCAAAATTCTGACATCAGCAAGGTGTTTAATTTTTAATTTCTTTCCTTTTTCGCACGCACCATAACTAACAAGGTTTTAGTAATTATGTCCATTTAATTCATGACGTGACAATGGCCTGCGTAATGCAGAGGTCGCGCTACAACAGTCGCGGCTGACAGGTGAAGGCTGCTGCACGTTTCCGAGCATTCCAAATGCCGTCCACTAGGCTCTATGACAGGAAAGAGTCAGATTACAGTGTGTGCCAAATGAATATACCTTACTGCAACTCTGTCATCAACAACACCGATGCAATTACGTACGTTACACGTTAAAACAACAGCGGTGTTTGGAATATAATAAAAGACTGCGCATGCTGTCTGTGACGCAGCAGATCTGTGTTTCGAATTTTCATAAGATTCTACAATCGTCATAAATGGACGCACAATTAAAAGAACCAAAGACTTAAACTACTTCAGTCTGTGTGCATTGAATTTATTTAATACATGAGTTTCACAATTTGAGTTGAATTACTGAAATAAATGAACTTTTCCACGATATTCTAATTTATTGAGATGCACCTGTAGTTTAACCCTCTATTGCTCAGTTTTGCCTTGGTGACAAGCCAATTTTCTTCACTTTGCAAGCACATGATGCATACATGATGACAAAAATATGGATTAAAAATGAAAGAATGACTAATAAGCCAATACGATATTTTTTCTTAACTTATTTTTCTTGTCAAGGCGGTCATTTAATCTTGAACTCATACTGCCCCATGTGGACGAAGCACATTTTTGCTTGAGATAACCTTTCCTAGAAAAGCATTTTCCACCCATTGAACATTTAAAGCCATATATAATATTTGAAAAGAAATTGCTTAAATGTGTTTGTTGCATAGCAGAAGGCATGGACGCAATTCAAGCAGGTACTATAATAAAAACTAGTTTCTATTTGGATTTAATTTACCATCATGTAAAGTATATTTTGAATTATATTAGATTGTATCAAAATTCTGACATCAGCAAGGTGTTTAATTTTTAATTTATTTCCTTTTTCGCACGCACCATTAACTAACAAGGTTTTAGTAATTATGTCCATTTAATTAATGACGTGACAATGGCCTGCGTAATGCAGAGGTCGCGCTACAACAGTCGCGGCTGACAGGTGAAGGCTGCTGCACGTTTCCGAGCATTCCAAATGCCGTCCACTAGGCTCTATGACAGGAAAGAGTCAGATTACAGTGTGTGCCAAATGAATATACCTTACTGCAACTCTGTCATCAACAACACCGATGCAATTACGTACGTTACACGTTAAAACAACAGCGGTGTTTGGAATATAATAAAAGACTGCGCATGCTGTCTGTGACGCAGCAGATCTGTGTTTCGAATTTTCATAAGATTCTACAATCGTCATAAATGGACGCACATGACACGCGGGCACATCGACTCACCAGTATCATGCGCGAGATGTCCTTACAGTCCTCGAGCGTGGCGGCCCGGATGGTGAATTCCATCCTGTGTTCAGTAATAACAAACTGAGCAATAAAATAAAAGTCAAATAAAATAAATAATCAGGAGTGTTTGTCGACGTGGACTATGAAAAGGACATACGAAGAGATGTGTTTATGTTGCTGTGACTCTCACGCGGCGCTTAGAAACTGTTAAAACAGCGCCATCTGCAGGTTCTGATGTGATATCACAGTCATCACTATTGGCCATTTATACAATTATTGTAAAGAAACCTTTGTAAAATAACCTTTGATTTTAAAACAGTAGATTAAAATGTGTTTAATGTTAGACGCTTAGACGTATCTAGATATATGCACGTTATCGTTTGAATGATTATTCCACAGAAACATACAGTAGGCTGTAATCAAAGGTTGACTCATGAAAGCTGTTTTAACAATTACTTTCATTATTACTAGTAACATTATTCATTGTGGTGTTTAATATTAATTTGTGCCAGTGGCATTTCCCCCTCGGTAGAAATCTCTAAGAAATCTATCTAAAAATGTCTACCGAGGGGGACACTTTAACCCCCCATCATCCCCCCCCCAACCGTGCACACCACTGATTGTGCTGATGTGATTTCTCCCTCACACATTATGTGGATTCTTTCCTAAATCATTCGAAAATTATGTATATTCTTGACTGTTATTGTTATTAAAAGACTAATGATGACTATTATTAATATTAAAGCTGAATAACCTTGAACAAACATAACACGTTTTCATCTAGTACAAGTCTTTCGAGCCAACATTTATTAAGACAACAGACTGATGTTGATGATTTTGAAGTTTACATTAACTTTAAAGGATGGTTCACCCAAAAATGAAAATTCTGTCATCGTTTACTCAACTTCAGGTTGTTCCAAACCTGTATACGTTTCTTTCTTCTGTTGAGCACAGACCTGTATACGTTTCTTTCTTCTGTTGAACACAGCACAAAAGATGTTTTGAAGAATGCTGGTAAACATTAAACCAAACAGTTGACGGTAACCATTGACTTCCATAGTATGGAGAAAAAAAAAATACTATAGAAGTCAATGGCTACCATCAGCTGTATGAAGAATGTTGGTATGTTCTGATGACAGAATTTTCTGGGTGATAAAAAAAAGTACTGTTTCTTTAAAATGTAATTACTCTAAATTTTAAGGCCTTTTATTCTCAGGTTATTGTTATTCCCATAATAAATAAATAATAGCTACTATGTGGCTGAACAAGACTCCAAGAGTAGGTGTTTATGTAATGCTATAAACATATTTAGATCTATAACATATCCAAAACTGTTTATCTAGAATAATGCCGTTTTACACATGTATCCTTTTTTTTATTTAAATTCAGACTGCATATGTAACCGGCTCATAATATGATCACTTTCCCTTAGTGTGACATTAGCTCATTAAATGTAAGGCCTATATTAATCAGGGCCACACATTCCACCACAAAGTCGCTGTTCAACTCAGGGGTGTAAACTGTATTTTCAGAGTTTGTATATATGCTGCTAAATATAGATTCGTGGGCTCAGGCACTAGTTAGACGGACAGGGCGGGGTTGCTTTTATTTGAACAGCTATATTCAGATTTCGCTCTCAGAAACTGGCCTCGTGCCACTCAAAACAGGTCCAGTGCTGAAGTAACGGGCGCTGCTGACTGAACCGTTGTCTGAGGCTGACTAACGCAAGGGAGGGGGAAAATGCTGCCGTTTTCCATCAGCTACGCATGATCCTCAGATGACGCATGTAAAAGGTCCAGCCGCATGCAGTGAAACAGTGCCAGCGAGCGCACGCGCGCTTCTGTCCATTCAACGGGATGAGCGCGCGTGGGTTTCAGACGGAAACAGCTAATTGCGTTCGATATCCTTGAGTAGGCTGAATGGACAGGTGAGGGCGAGAAAATCTTGAAAGACCATACAATAGCAACATCTTCAGACAAAATACTTCTTAAGTCCAGTTGCCACATTACAACAATCCTTTTGTCAGAGCCGTCAATTTGTAGGCCAACCCCGGAATGCTAATTCTTCGCCACTGTATTTTCATTTCTGACGTTTTAGTGCGTTTTTGTTTTAAATTACACACAGCTATAACTCAGTTGTAAACGCTGGCATCATATTTTTTTAAAACCTCAAGTTGCTGTTTGCTTTGTAATGACTAATTGTCTGATTCGTCAACTCACACTTCTTGTGGTAGCCTAGTTGTTGAACTTTATTTGGGAACTAGTGTGAAAACTTAAGTGTAAAAACAAACAAAAAAAAACGCAAATGTGGAAAAATAAGCAGCTTCAAAATTCAGGTTTGGATAAGTGTATGTACCGTAATTAAAAAGCAAAAGATAAAACTTTCTTCAAGTAATGTTAACCACAGACCTTTAATTTACTCAGAAATCCAAAACTGACATTTCAGACAGTTAGGGTTAGGATCGAACCCATGACTGGAAAATGTTAATTCTCTTCTGGGTTTTAGAGCCACAAACTAAACTGCTGTATTTGTGCCTGAAATGTCAAGGACATCACTGACGCAAAAGACAACCTGCGAGTGATCAACAGTTTTATGAAAATGTCGAATGTGGCATCATGAAAGGAGAAAATTGAGTTTTTTCTTTACGCTACATGGTGCCTCGGTATAAGCTCATTAGTACCATGATAGTGCCAAGAACCATTATATAACTGACATTAACACTTCTAACTACAGCACTTAGAAACTCATGCTTTCATGGAAAAATAGCGCCCCTGACATCACAGCTAGTAGCCCAAGACCTTTTTATACACTCCTCATAGATGGAAGAACAGAGGCACAGTCACTCTGCACATGGGATGCGAGAACCTTTATGCAGAATTTGATTGATCTAAACATTAGTGAAAAAACTATGGATCTTAGATGTATTTAACAGTCAGTGTTAAACAATGTAAAGTACACTAAATTTAAATGTAAACAGTGCACAAATATCAACAGACTACACCCAAAATAACACCAGCTGAAGGTCCACTCGTAGCCTACAGACTATAATGCATTCTCCTCTTGATCTTGTGCAGGGCAGGAAACGGTCTTCCTGTTTAGTCTATGACGTGATGACATTCTTTTTCTGCTACTATAGTATCTTTTTTTGGGGTGCTTTCATCCGATTAAATGTGACATGACGAAACTTCAGGCAACTGAATAAAGGTTTTAATGGAGATATACCGTTTAAAAAGCCTAAAAATAGCAAAATTTTAAAATGAAAAAGTTTAGCACAGTCTGCTCTGATTTGCCTATAGAGAATATTTATGTAAAATCACTAATACAGTTAAATAACATTTTTTGTCAAATAAGTCAAATTAATCAACTTCTATCTGTTAATCAACTGCTATTCATATATTTATATATAGATCTATGACGTGATGACATTCTTTTTCTGCTACTATAGTATCTTTTTTGGGGTGCTTTCATCAGTTTAAATTTGACATGAAGAAACTTCAGGCAACCGAAAAAAAGGTTTTAATGTAGATATCCCTTAACAAAAAAAAAAAGAATGAAAAAATCCTACAATGTTGTGATCGTAGTGGAAACTCAAAAGCACATTTTTAAAAAGTCTGCTCTGATTTGGAAAATGACATTTGTGTTAAATCACTGTTATCTGGACAGTATTACAGTTGAATCAAATTTCTTTTGTCAAATAAGCTCAATTAATGAACTTATCTGACAGCTTGTTGTCTGCTTTACATATATTTACTGTATATATAGATCAGATAAAAAAGGAAATGAGCTCATAATCTAGCTGATGCAATTGAGCTGCAAGAGAATTCAAGAGTGAGGAAAACAGAAAAAAAAAATCTTATTCAGTGTACAGGACCAACGTCCCTCTTTCCCATATTAGGAGAAGAACAACTGTTTGTCATCACACTGTATCTGAGTGAGGAAATAGACTGAGCAAACATTGCCCGTCAGCGTCCAGACACAGTTAGCATTAGTCATGTGACATTACAGTGAGTCGATCTGGCCAAGCTGTGGCTTTCCAGCACAAGACTTAATATTTTATTAGACATTAACTGTTTCTGTCAGTGAGTGAGCCAATCAAAAATTTAGTTTTCCTAATCTAAACTACATCTGCTATTAAAAGCAGTACATTTAGGTAAAACTTTATTCTATCATGGACGACTCTTGTCCACACTATACTGACCTCCAGAAATGAACTGAAATAGCTGTTCTTCAGGGTGTGTTTGCAGCCAAAACAAACAAGTACATTTAGTACATGTGTTATTTACACATCCAGACAAACGTGAGTAGAGGCACTCATGGACATAGTGTGCACACACCTACTCATGCCAACAAGAAAGAACATTGAGGGATTTATTTTAGATAATGTGAGTGCTGTAGTGTTTTAGAATCGCTAGATATGTATGTACAGTAAAACTCAACTCAACTCAAACTTTATTTATAAAGCACTTTCAACAAAAAAACATTTAACTGCTCCAACACAATTTTTTCCAATACCTTAGATATAAAAGGCAGCTTCGAAATGGGGCGAAAATTACTCATGTTAAAGGGATCTAAACCATTGTTTTTAAGGAGAGGCTGAATAACAGCATGCTTAAAACTAGTGGGAACAACACCAGATGACAGACTACTATTCAAAATAGTCAGAATACTTGGACCAATAGTGTCAAAAACCTTCTTAAACAAAGAAGAAGGAATGACATCACCTGGAGACCTAGTAGGCTTCATATGCGCAATTATATCTTTAAAGGGGTCATATGATGCTTTTTTAAAGATCATTATTTTGTGTATTTGGTGTAACAGAATATGTTGACATGCTTTAATGTTCAAAAAACACATTATTTTTCAAATACTGTACATTATTGTAGGTCCTATATGCCCCGCCTCTCTCAGTTTGTAATGCAAACAGTTTTACCGTTTAATGCACGTTGTTATTCTTCTCGTTATTTCCCTTTAGCCGCTAATGAACCGGAAGACTCGCCCATAGGCTTACTTCCTCGTTTAGGAATAAGGTGGATATTGGTACCATAAGCTCGCCACAGTTATGTTTACGACAAATTTTATATAATGTAAAATGGGGAAATCTTTTGAATAAATCAAAAGTTAACAGACACGTTTAGAAGATCCTTATCTGAATGACCAAATACTTGATTTCCAAAAAAGACGGCCATCTGTTTTAACATGTCAGCTAAT